CTCTCTTTATGGAGTCCTGGTTGCCCAGTGGTTAAGAGCTCTGCTGCTAACCAAGAGGTCAGAAGTTCGAATCCACCAGCTGCTCCTTGGACACCCTATGAGGCAGCTCTACTCTGAGTCAGAATCCAGTTGAAGCCATTGAGTTTTTTTTTGGTTCTCTCTTTGTAAGTGAGGTTGAACACATCCTCACGCGTTTATTGACCATCAGCTTTCCTTCTGTGAACTGCATGTTCACATCCTTGCACATTTCTAAAATTTATTTGCTTTTCCTTATTGATTTGTAGGAAACACTAATTAAGAGCACCATCAATGCAAGGTGATGTCCGTTTTCTGTTTAAATTGCTAGCAGCTATCTCGTTTAAAGGAGAGAGAGCAAAGGCTAATGGAAGATGTCAGGTGGAGCTCCAGATACAACTTTGGTCACTTCTTAAGTTTCCCGTGCAAATCATACACTAACCATTTTTGTGCATTATTTAACCAATTTTGAAATACGTGATTATAAAAAGTAAGGCCAAATTTAAAAATCAAAGAAACAAAAAATTGTTCCTATTTGAAATTAAATCCTATGGTATCCTCAAGTTGATGTGACTCATCTTGCGTTTACAAATATAATAACAATCAAGTAAAATCAACTAAATGCAGAAGGTTAGCAACTTTCTATACGTTTCTTCATGGTAACCTTATTTTACTTTGCAGAACTTCACTGTTTCTTTTTTTTGTGCGTGTGTGTGTGCCTTTTTTAGGGCAAAAAAATGAAGAAACAATGACGACATAAAGGAGCAGAAATTAGAGATTTCCCCAGTCAGCTAAATTTTGTATTATTTCTTTTTTGTGGTCTTTAAGAAAATGAAAATCTCTGGAAATTATTTAATGGAAGAAATTCTTTTTTGTGTTTGATGTAGTACTTCTGTTACTGTCACTGTTTTATGACTTAAAAAGAAAGACACATTTTCGTATTTAAACTGAGAGGAATCAATTTCTTTAGAATGCTGGAAAATCCTTGTGCTTAAACAATTAGAAAATCTCATTTATGTTATGGATGTTTCTTAGAAAATTTTTGGTAGCGGCCCAAAGACAGCTGTAGCTCCATTTATAATGGGAAAGATTGTATTGCCTTGGTGAATGAGGCCTATTGCTTTAAGTAATAATGGGCTTTTTCTTGGCCTCGTAGTGTAAATGGGATTTTTAAGCACTGCAAAACAGAAACTGAACAGACATGTGTTACACTGCTTAAATCCGGGCTCTAATTCTGTTTCCAGGGACTGGCTGTATTGCTCCAAGACATGCCTAAAGTCTGTAGGATCCTTGTCTATTAGGTCAGTGATTCTCAATCTTTCCGTGTTCCCCCAGGCTCTCAGTCTACTCCTCAGTCATGGTTCTGCCCATGTCTCTGCGTTAAGCCTGTCATTAGGAAATGCAGCCATTGCAGAAGCACAGTGAACACCAGGCAACACCTTGCTGACCAGGGCAAGTGTGATGGTTAACATTATGTGTCATCTTGGCTAGGCTGTGATTCTCAGTGGTTTGGCAGACATTGCTCTTCCATAATATAATAAAATGTAATCACTTTCCATGTTGTGAGATGATGTGATCAGTTGAAGGGGGCATTTCCCTGGGGATGTGGCCTGGCTCCAGTATATAAATGGGTGTTCTGGCAAAGCTCTCTCTCAGCCATACACTCATCTCATCACCTGACCTCTGCTTCCTGGGACGTAAGCCTGCAGAAGTCTCAGCCCTGCTGCCTGACATACAGATTTTGGGTTCTTCAGCTCCCGCAATGCCAAGAGCCAGCAGAGGTCTCCAGCCTGCCACCTGACCCATGGACTTGGAACTTGCGGGCCTCCACAATTGTGTGAGCCATTTCCTTGAAATCTCTCTCTTTCTCTCTCTCTCTCTCTCTCTCTATATGTCACTGGTTTTGTTCCTCTAGAGAACCCAGATTAAGAAAGCAAGCAAAAAGAGCACAGCACAGATATTCTCTTAGGTTGGTCAGGCAAAGGAAAGATTTGGAGAAATATCTTCTGCCCAAGATAACCTCTTACATGACAAAAGGTGCCAGGAGGATATTGGAAACAGAGAAGGTCAATAAAAGAAGATCTATCCTACTTTCCAGTGGACTTTGAGAATAGAAGGATGGGAATTCTTAGGAACTATCATGACTTCTCCTAATTCCCCTCATTGAACTCTTTTTTTTTTTCCTCTGATTTTTGTTTGGAAACCAGTTGTTTTAGATTGAATTGTGTCCCCCTAAAAGATATGTTGAAGTTCCAGCCCCCCAGTACCTGTGAGTGTGGCTTTGTTTGGAAGTACGATCTTTGATTATGTTTTCAGTTAACATGAGGTCTTACTGGAGTAGGGTGTGTACTAATCTGTTCTGAGTGACATCCTTACCACAGAGAAGAGATGGAGAGATAAACATAAGGAAGACAACCATGTGAAGATAGAGGCAGAGATTTGGAGTGATGCTTTTACAAGCCAAGGAATGCCAAGGAGTACCTGCAAGCACCAGAAACTAGGAGAGGGACATGGAACAGATTGTCCCTCAGAGCCCTCAGAAGGAATCAGCACAGCCAACACCCTGATTTTAGACCTTAGCCTCTAGAACTGTGAGACAATAAATGTTTGTTCTTATAAGCCACCCGATTTATGGTATGTTGTTACATCAACCCTAAGTAACTAATACACCATGCTTCAGAAATGTGGAACCGTGAAGAGTCTTAGAAGAAATACAACCATAACGCTCCTTAGAAGCTAGGATAGCAAGACTTCGTCCTGCTTACTTTGGACATGTCATCAGGAAAGATCAATTGCTAGAAAAGGACATCATATTTGGTAAAGTAGAGGGTCAGCAAAAATGAGTAAAACCCTCAATGAGATGGATTGACACAAGAGCCACAACAATGGACTCAAACGTATCAAAGGCAATGGGGATGGCACAGGACTGGGCACCATTTCTTCTGTTATCCATCTGATCACCATGAGTCAGAGCCAACTCCGCAGCAACTAGCAACAGCAACAATATTGCCTCGTATCAAGGCTGGCTCTTCTCACCACCTAAGAAGGCCATAGTATCCTACCAAATTTTGCCAAGTCGCCCTTCTTGGCTTAATCTTAAATCAAAACTTCCAACTCTCTCTTTCTAGGCTCCTGCTTCTAGCTACTCGTTTATAGTTTCTGGCCATCTTGTCACTATCTTGCCACACTGTCCTAACTAGTTTCTGGACTGCTATGTTCCAAAACAGGAACACACAGGGCACTGTGTTCGGCTTACTCTTCCAAATACCACACCAGTTTCTCTGAAGGCTTAGGGGAATGCCAATGGCTACAACAATGCTTGGCACAGAACAGGACCTTAATAAAAATTTGTTGAATGAATTCATGTACAGTGGAAGAAAATTACTGTATGTGGAGTGAAGAATTAACCTTTCCTAAAGACAGCCCTGAATGTGCAGAGGTTAAGCACTAAGTGCTAACTGAAAGGTTGGTGGTTCAAACCCACCAGCCACTCCATAGGAGAAAGATGTGGTAATCTGCTCCCGTAAAGATTACAGCCTTGGAAACCCTATGGGGAAGTTATAACATGATCTATAAGGAATCAACTCAATAGCAACAAGTGTTTTTTTTTGTTTGGAAAGAGAGGCCTGGTCTTTGCCGTTGGCTACAGGGAGGTGATCTCTAGGCCCCTGGAATGTCATGCCTGTTAGGATTGTCTTTGTCTGGGGGCCTTGGTCACTGGACAGTTTAACAAAGTGATTTATGATTGAGGCCTTTGTAACATTCCAATTTTGTTCCAATCTCAGGAGGAACTGGAGACTGAAGACATAGTCTGACTGCTGGGAGGCTCTAGAGACTAATGGTCAGCCATGTGGACAGCCCTGGACACCAAAGGCTCCGTGTGCTTCCCTGGCTGGCAACGCTTTATCCATATTGTCCCACATCTTCGGCAGGGAAGGTAACGCCGTCCAGGTCTCCACAAGGAGAGGACAACTGGGAGCTCTGCCTTTGAACCCCTCTCAGACTTCACCCTATGCCTGGTTCTAATGTGTTCCCTTTTGTCTAAACAAACATGACTATGACTATAATGGGGTCCTGGTGGCACAGTGGGTAGTCAGAAATGGAAAGATAGAGACAAAAGGAGCAAAATTATTCTATAATTATGTAATAAGAATATTCTGTTTTCTCTTGGCTGCTCAAGAAGAAAAGAGATTTGAGGAGACAGTCTAGACTCAGAGAAGATGGGTGGTAAGATGAAAATAAAGATCTCCGAAAGGGTCCAACGACATGGTGGTCAGCTGGCACCTATAGACTGAGCAGATCAGTACGGTTGTCCCTTTAGCAGAAGTACCTAATAATGAACTGTCAGACTGGTGAGGTCTGAGACTCGATTTTAAATTTTCTAATATGTACAGTGCAATGAGTTAGGGAAAACGGTCCAGTCTGAGCGAACAGTTTTCCACAAAACGGCTCTCATTTCAGACTCCAGCCACACATCTGGGGGTCCCTATGGGGCAGTTCTACTCTGTCCTATATGGTTGCTATGAGTCGGAATCGACTTGACAGTGACGAACTTGGTTTTTTTCTTTTAGGACCACCCTCGTCTCAGACCAGCTGGCTACCAATTCAGTGCTTCCCCCAACTACCCCCAGCTTGGATAATTCACTAGGATGACTCACAGAACTCACTGCAAACTCATAGTCATGCTAAAAAAGCAAAACAAAACAAAAACAAACCTGTTGCCATTGAGTTGATTCCAACTCATAGTGAACCTATAGGAGAGAGTAGAACTGCCCCGTAGGGTTTCCAAGGAGCAGCTGGTTGATTCGAACTGCTGACCTTTTGGTTAGTAGCCGAGCTCTTAACCACTGCACCACCAGGGCCCCAGTGTTAAAAAGCAAACCAAACCCGTTGCCATCGAGTTGATTCCAACTCATAGCGACCCTACAGGATAGTGTTGTAAAGTGCCATTTAAAAATTGATTTCTATGAAGATGATTGTACTACCATTTTCCAAACAAAGAAATCGAGGCTTGCAGTATAACTCCCCTTAGGACAGCACACATCCTCCGGACGGCTCTGCACGAAGATGTCCACCTGGGGAAGTGAGAGAGGACACTTACTTTTTAACTGCAGTTTGTCTCCTCTGTTCTCGTTTCTCTAAATGAACAAGTGGGCGATGTACGAGAGGACGCAGCTGGAATGATTACCATTTGTTCTGCCGACAGCAAGCCCTGTACTCCATCTATTCTGAAGCAGGGGAGAATTTGGAAGCATAAAGTTTACACTGACTACGAGGCAGTTTGACCACCGTAGTTCCTTTTGTGAACACACGCCATCGTGGCTAATCTGCTTTGTGGGACTCAGAATTGCCTCATTTCCCTGAATGCCCAGGCTCTCTGCTCACTGGGAGAAGACCTTCTCCACTTACAGAGAACCTTTAGAATAATCAAGCAATTAAGTCATTTGAGCACCAAGCCTCTTTTCCTACGCTGTTGAAAGAATTGTCAAAATACCACTTTTATCATAATTAAGGTTTTTCAAAATACCAAGATATTCATTGTGAATGCTTCCTCCCACGTTCCATCACAACACAGGCCTGCAGTACAGTGATGGTGAGATGCCCCCTCCCGCGCCACAGTTTAAAAAGAGGGCAGCTATTCTTCGCTGGCTGCTAACAGAAAGGTTAGGGGTTTGGACCCACCCAGCGGCTCTGCAGGAGAAAAGATCTGATGATCTGCGCCCATAAAGATTCCAAACCAAAGCAAACTCACTGCCATCTAGTCGATTCCAACTCACAGCGACCCCATAGGGTTTCCAAGGCTGTAAATCTTTACAGAAGCAGACTGCCACATCTTTCTCCTGCAGGCTGCTTGTGGTTTCGAACCACTGACCTTTCGGTTAGCAGTCAAGGCTTTAACCACTGCAGGCCATTCTACTCTGCCCTGTATGGTCGCTGCGAGTTGGAATGACTCCCTGGCACACGGCAACATTTTAACAGCCTCTGGTGGGCCTTTTAGGTCCTCTTTAGAAGACACTTCAAATCTGGAGAGGTTGCACTGCTGGGGTATTTTCAGAAGTGTGCTTTTTTTTTTTTTTTTTTAATTTCCTTCTTCTGTTTAAAGAGCAAGAAGGCTGAATTTAAGTATCTGTAGGAGGAGAATCTGGACTTAAACTCCTTTTCAAGCATTCTTTTCCAGGCTCCTTGTATTTCTTCCTAAAATATTTATATGAGTAAATACCTGCACTTATTTATCATAAAGAAAGTCTGGGATGATACAGTCAAACAAACTCATCTCTAAAAGATGATAATAACTCCCACCGGTACTGAGGTAGCTGTCATTTAAATTTAACCCTGTTATCAGGAGTAAGCAAATATTAGTGAAGGCGGTTTTTTTTTCCTTTGACTTCAGGAAATGGGCAAATCCAGCATCACGGAAATGATTCTTCAAGAAGCAGATTTAAAGCTGTTTGTTGAGACAGACTGAGGTTGTCTCTTTCACACGCAGCGGGGGCATGCTAAGCTCTGGGGAAAAGGAAATTCACTTTTTCCTTTTCTGCAATTAGTTGTTGTGCAAACTCATTCTTAAAAGCAGTTAACACGATTGGCAATTAATATTTGTCATTAGCTTACATGTTTACCACTTATACTCCCCGCTAGAGTGTAAGTTCCACCATTGTATTCCCAGCACGTAGTACACGTTGTTACTATTGTAAGCCGCAGAGTCTATTCCGCCTTACAGTGACCCTGTCAGACAGTGTAGAACGTCCCTATAGGGTTTCCTAGGCTGTGATCTTTACAGAGGCAGATCGCCGGGTCTTTTCTTCCACAGAGTGGCTAGTGGGTTCAAACCACTGACCTTTTGATTAGCAGCCGAATTCTTAACCATTGTGCCACCAGGACTCCTTACCTGGTATGTAGTAGACCATTAATAAATACCATATTTTTACTCAAATAATGCGTCCCTTCTACATTTGTTTGTTAACTGCACCCTCCCTGCATGAAGTATTTTCCTAAGTGCTGCTATGCCAATTTTTTTACATGTTGCTGTTAAAAAAAAAAAAAAAGAAAGAAAGAAAGCATAGCACGCTTATGAAAATACCTCATGGGGTGAGGGCGTGGTTAGCAAACAAACATAGACGGTCTGTGTTATTTCTGTAAAGTGTGGTATTTATCAAATAAATAGCTTTGTAGAACTTTCTAACACAGATAATAAGGAGCCCTGGTGGCGCAGGAGTTACAGCACTCTGCTGCTAACTGAAAGGTCAGTTGTTTAAACCTACCAGCTGCTCCAGTGGAGAAAGATGTGACAGTCTGCTCTGTAAAGATTTACAGCCTTGGAAACCCTATGGGGCGGTTCTACTCTGTCCTATAGGATTGTTAAGAGTCAGAATTGACTCTACTGCAGTAGGTTTGGTTTTTGTTTTTGTTTTTTTTGGACCATGGATATTAATATCATTCAAGAGGAAAAGATATACTCTCTGATTGGTATGTTCTGAGGGCTTTACGTGGATTCTTTCATTCAATGCTCACAAAACTTTAAAAGACAGGGTCTACTATTATTACAATTTTAGCAGGTAAGAAAGTGGAGGTACAGAGGAAAAGAAAAGGCACTCCAGAAAGGAAGAGTCAGTCTGTTAACCCAGCAATCCAACTCCAGGGTCCATTTAAACCATCGCACCAAGGGGGTGTGGTGGGTGCAGACTGCACCTGCCAACTCTATCAGAGGGGGTGACACTAAAATGACCCCTAGGTTTGTGGTGTTGCTGCTGGGGGAGGGGCCACCAAGGCAGTGGCATCACTAGGGTTGGCGTCATCTGTTACCCAGTGCGGTAACTCATCATCCCCCTCCCCCACTTCATCATCCACCAGTCAGAATGAGGGCCACTGGGCTGTGGTGCTCACCATTGGGCAGAGAGAAAGATCTCCACGTTAGCCAGTGGGAGAGGGGAGCAGTTGTGGGGAGCTGGCGGGGAGGACTGGAGCCACACCTCCCACGGGGGGGCTTTGGGGTCTGGCCCTGCCCACCTTAGGCAGGGGGGTGGTGACACCATGAGAAACCCCACCGGGTGACACCAACCCTAGTGACGCCACTGCATCACTCTATACTGTCTCTGTGGTCAGAGATACGACTGTGAAAAGTAATGCATATGGCAAGAAGTGGAGTCCACCTCAGAGTACCCCGGTTGCTCTTTCTTTAATGAGTAATCATTATATACAGGCAGCCTTTTCTTTGAACACTCCCAATATACACACAATTCAGTTGTCATGGTTTAGTTAAATAGCAGCAGTTCTCCAACAACTTGGTTTAAATTTCAGTGACCATCATATATTAATAATTGCCTGAAGTACAAGCGTCACTGAAATGTCTTCAGTTTATAAATTAGTCCATAAATAAAAATGTGCATCATGATCAGTGGCCAATCACATCACTTCTTCCAAAATCTATCCATGATTGTCTCTGTGCATCTGTTATTCAGGTCAGGCACAGACAGCAAAGCATGTAGTTGTGTTGCCTCCTTGTCCCCTGGTAATAAACTCACATGACATTTTACAAAAAAGGATAATCAAAACACAACCGTGTGTTGGAATTGGCCAACAGAGATGGCCAGCAAAGAGACTAAAAGTGATAGCACTGCAAGTGAAATTCGAATCGAACAAGTAGAATTACAGAAGACATAGTTGCCCGTGGGAATGTTGGCACTGCTGGTGTTCAAGGGACTTCAGATACAAACAGAGGAACTTAGTGAAGACGAACTTACCTACATAAATGAGGAAAGTGCTTGTGATGCAAAGGGTGAAGATGTCGCAGATAAAATTAAGCCAGCAAAAACACTTCACATTTAAGGAATTCTCAGAGATATTTCATGACATTGAAGGCACAAAGGATGCTATGTTGGCAGCTGGTCCAAACTTAGAAGGAGTGCGACAATTTGACAAGGCATAGAAAAGACGCTCACTCCATGTTATAAGTTTTACAATGAGAAGAAGAAAGCAAGCACCGTTCATGCTATTCTTGATATGTTTTTTTTACAAAGAAATGGGTTTCATTCTCAATGTTTCTAATGTTTTAAATAAGAGTATACTGAAATATTAGTTGTACTGTTTTCAATTCCTTATACATCTGTAACTGATAGTGGAGGATTTTAATATTTCAACAAATATATTTACAGGTCACAAACTATCATTATTTTCCCATTGATTATGAAGATTGTTTTCATGGCCTCGGCTTGCATGTGCAAAACAAGGACTGCTTGTAATCAAAAGAATTTCAAAAGCGAATGAGTGAGTGGTAAACGTGCTTCAACTACAAGACCCAAGCTCATGTGATTCAGAGTGTTGGCTGCCTTTTTGCTGCTCAAGCCCAGGAAAGCAGTTAAAGTTTTTAACACTAACTGGCTCTCAAATCCCACCGGGAAAGTTGATGGCAGGAAACAGGAAGGTGAAATGAGAAGAGGGCTAGCTTTGGAGAAACAAAACCTAAACCAAATACTGGCTCTTCAGCTCATCAATTTTGTAGCCCTGAACGCTCACTCAAAAGTTGAGGCTTTTTCCTTATCTGTAAAATGGGGATGAAAATATCCATTTTGTAAGATAGTTCTGTGTATGAGAAAAAAATATGCATGCGTGTGTGTGTGTGTTTATAATTAAATATCCAAATAAGTGTTCAAATGAAAAATCTCCTTGAAACATCTTTGAATCAGGATTCAAAGAATCCCACAGAACTCAGTTTGTTGCTACATCTTTTAAGCCTCCTTCAGTGTGTAGGGATTCTCACGATTATAAGGATGGTGTAGGATTGGGCCGTGTTTCATTCTGTTGTGGACCAAAGTCGCTGTAAGTCAGAACCGACTCGACGGCACCTAACAACAACAATTCTCACTCTATTTTTATTTTTTTCTTTACTTTTATGTGTAGTAAAAACAAAGTTGTTCGTACTATAGATTTGCCTATATTCTAGATTTTGCTAACTGCGTCCCCATAGTGTGATATAATATGTGTCTTTATTCCCTATATTTCCTGTAAACTAGTAGAGGTTTGATTAAATGTACTTTCAAATATTTGGCAAAAAATACACATAGCTGATGCTGTGTAA